AAAAAAAAAGGAAGGAAAGGATGAATGAAATTAGGGTGAACAAGAGCAGTGGACACTAGAGGTAGAGACAAGAGATTGGGGGCAGAATCAGACAGGATGTTCCAGGAGTAAAAATCAAAGCCCTGACCCCTCCGAGGAGGAATAGCCTCCCCTACACAAGCACAGCATCTCTACCCTCTCTCTGCCCAACAGTTTCCATTCCTTTCATCTCTTTCTCTTAAAACTCAAAATCAATGTTTATTTTTTTCGTCAATTAAATGCAAGAGGTTTTTTTTTCTTTAGAGATAAAATGTTTCCCCATCTTTTACTTTGTTTTGAGATTGTAATTTAATTTCTCTGCTTTCCTTAAAATTCATGGCCTCACTGGGTATGGTGGTGCACATCTTTCATCCCAGCTCTTGGGATGCAGAGGCAGGCAGATTCCTGTGAATTCGAGGCCAGCCTGATCTACAGAGTGAGTTCCAGGACAGGTTCCAAGCTATAGAGAAACACTGTCTTGAAAACAAAAACAAACAAACAAATTCATGGTCTCTTTTTCATAAATTTTTTATCGAATTCATATATGCATTTGTATATTCATATATACATATATTGGGATATATATATATATATATTTCCCTAACTATAGCTTGCCGAGTCCGTATGATATTACTTGAATGTATGTCTTCAAGGTTGTTTGGACTGGCAATTGGTATACTCTTCCCTATCTAAAGGGGACCACCTCTCTTGCTCCCAACTTTCCTCAGTGGCCTATGGTTCTTTGTGTAAGGTTGAAGCCTCGTGGGCTATCCTAGTCTAATTAGGCACGTTGATTGGTATCATCCTTGCTCAGCTCACATTTGGGTTGCCATATTGGTGAGACTTTGTGGGTGTGACTTCTGATGTTAACACAAGACACAATCTCATATCAAATTCCCTGATTCCCCCCGCCCCCAACACAATGTTCCCTGAACCTTGGGTACAGGAGTGTTTTGAAGATGTATCCAATGGGGTTGGGCTTCATAACTCTGCATTTCTATTGCTTTGGTGTGTGTGTGTGTATATATATATATATATATATATATATATATATATATATATATATATATTGATCTGTCTGTTGGAAAGATGTTTTCTTGACTAGGGGTGGAGACTACCTTATCTGTTTCTAATTGTAGAAAATGGGGGCGTTTGGCTCAGTTGGTGATCAGTGGTCTGTCCTGCAAGTCCAGAGTGCTCTCTGGTGTGACTTCTCATCTGAACACTGAGGTCCAGGCGATTATTTGCATTTATTGCATTTATAGCTGACTTTCAGACTCTGCAGAAGCTCTAACAGTTATGTATTTAGATCTTTGCCTCTGCTTCCTTCCCCTTGCTGTCCCGTGAAGGGCTCCGAGCACAGCACCCCATCTTCTGTATCTCTCTGTATCTCTATCTCCTGGCTCTGTGGCATAGCTGTGATAAATCCCAAGAAGCAGACATGATCTGGAAAACGTTACAGTCTTCTGGCTTTTTGTCCTTTTCAGACCAGTACAACCAAGAAATGACAAGATTACCAATCTTAGTACAGGAAAATAAACAATGTTGTTAAAACATGTCAGCTTTTTGATCCTTTCCAGATAAATTTCTATCCCATTTCTTGGAAAAGGCGATCTTACCAAGGCTTTACTTTTCTTTGTGCTGCTGTGTTTAGCTGACAGGGAAAGAACATCTACATCAATCATTTTAGGACTCAGAAAATAATGTGGCAATAAAAAGAGAAGTGAATCAAACGCATCTTCGAGGTACAGATAAAAATGTACAAATAAATTTAAATGAGAGGAAACAGAATATTAATATTTTTAAGAGAAACTTTAAAGTAAGCCTTCTGATCCTTAATTTAATAGATCAAAGAGCACATCCGGAGCACTAAGTGAATGCTTTCGCAGTGCCGGGCTTTTAGTCTTGTTATGTGGTGCTCCTGTCAAATGCCACGGTATGTCCAGCACTCTCCATTTATAGAGAGCAGAGGCGATGGGGTCCAAAGTGAAACTATTCCCTGGTAGCCCGTACTGCACAGTCTAGATTAGATCTTGATTGGAGGCAGCCTTGGTATTGCCCCAGGCTGGATGTATACAATGAACAGAAGATACCCTGGCTACTAGTCAGGAACACATGCTGCGTCATGTAGTTGGCAAGTGGTTAAGAGCTTCGTAGTATAAATGGGAAGTCAGTTCCCATGCAGGGGTTCCCTGGTTCTCACCTAGTCTGGGTTCTTGTAAGACTGCTTGGTAGTTAGTCTTTCTCTAAGACCCGCTGAATGCTATAGCTCATAAAGGCTACTGGTTTGAATTACAAGCACAATGATGACTCCGCTCATTTAGAAATTGTGTTTTAGTCTGGAACTCTATGTTGTAATTTCCTTGTAATAAATTAATTTTATTTTTTTAGAGACAGGGTCCTTTATATCCCAGGCCAGGCTCAAACTTAACTACACTGCCCAAAATGGTCTTGAACTTCTGATCTTTCCGACCCTACCTTTCCAGCGCTGGTATTACAAGCATATACAATTGCAGCCAATGTTATGCAGGGCTTGAGAATGAACCCATTCATATCACACAAGCCTTTGACCAATTGAGCTACATCCCCAGTTCCCTTTGCATTCATTCTCGCCTTTTAAGCTTTGTCAGATGTTAGATTGTGAAGGTTTTTTTGAGCTTCATTTTTGCGCTCAACATTCATATGCTGATAGATTTCACAGGATTTGTTTGAGATTTAATCTCACTTGTGACTATCAACAATAAGGGGAAATAATGTAGGAAACGAATAAAAATTTAGATCATGCTGATACACCCTTTTAACTCCACCCTTTTCATTTCTTTCAGGGAGCCAAGGTACCTTCCAACTTTACTTTCTCTATAGGCAGTCGGTAGCTCTAGTTTTGTCCCTCTATGGCTTAGACCTAGGAAAGATTGTGGCAGTCCTCAACGTTATCTTAGAATAAGTTTAAGTCCTCCTTTTTCCAGAAAAAAAAATGAAGAGGCTAGCAATGAAATGATACTTACAGAGAAGATGGAGAGATGGTAATGGGGGCCTCCAGTAGAGAGCATCATTCTGCCTCGGCACCAGTGTGACCCAAAGACTAAGACGAGCAGCAGGTTCAACCATAAAGCTCTGACTTAGAGCCATCAAGTTGATGCGTTGATAGGCATAGGCAGTCACTTACAGAAGGCATCTCCAAGGGAAGCCCGATGTCTGTGGTTATCTGTGCCCTTTCGTTGAGGATGGCGAACTGCTGATGGGTGCACTTGCTTCCTAAGTCATGACCAGATACTGTCTAGATAATTTAAAAAGAAAGCGAAGCCTTTACAGTCAGAAGACTTGGCAATTTCTACTCAGGGATGAAGGCAAATTACTAGGGAGGTTTGTTTGAGGACAACAATACGAATTATCCTGTCTCAAAAGGGATTCTTTAATGAAAGAAACACACATCCACAATCAATTTAGCCCTATTTAGCAAAAACAATATAGTTCAAATTTAAGAGATCAGTTATATTTAAAAAGATGCAACTTTCCAAAGCAATTTAATAATTGTTAATTATTTGATAAGTAGCTCATTATCTTCATCAGTTGTTTTACCCAAGGACATAAAGTCCTTTATCTTGCATTACTACTTAAAGTGACAAAATAAAAGCATTTTGAATGATTATTTAAAAAAGTTTATGTTTATGAACACATAAATCATATGTATCCTCTTCTATTCAGTTGCTTAGTGGTGGTGTGGATGGAACCCAGTTCTCACACATACATGCATGTGTGTGACATGCACAGAGCTATGTTCCTGTCCCCTTCCTTATTTTGTAACATGACCAGGAACTAAAGTTGTGATCCTCCTGCCTCAAGCCTCCCAAACAACTGAAATTACAGGCCTATACCACCAGGCCATTTTTATATTTTCGGAAAATTATGAGAATGTTTTAGCTCATCTAAGAGGCTGTTTTTGAAATGTAATTTTAGTCATTGCAGAACAGACCGTCTTAAAGACGGCAATGGCTCCTGGGTCTTCATAAATAGGAAAATCTTCTTTTCACATAATAGAACAACATTTTCCATGTTAGCAACGTCTTCTTAGGCCTCCCTCTTGGTTGTAGGATAGAAGAAACACATTCCTGCGGCCTATGAGTCAGAAGTTTGTAGCAAATCTCAAATCATTGTGGGAACTTCAGAACAACAGAGTATAGTGTCGTTCAGATGAACGTGCTCTCACCTTGGAATAAACCCTGCAGGTGCATTTGCATTTAGCTTAGGGCTGGTTCAAGCCACAGTCGTCACAACTTCAGGGGTGGAGGGGTCTGTGCCCTGGAAGAAAGGATGGGTGATATCACTCACCCAGGCAGGAGGCATATTATGGGAATCGCCGAAACTCCGCCTCCTTCTCGGGGTCTGGAGACTGGCGCTGTACAACTCTACACAGACTCACGGAGAACCGAGGCTTCCTTGTTTGGGGAGGGAAGATGTCTCACAGTTACTGTTGCAGTGTCTTCAGGGGCATCATGGTAGTTGTTAAATTCTTAAGATCAAAAAGGAGTATTGGGTATGAATATAATAGACAGCGTCTCCTTTATCATTAGATGTGAACCATTCCAACTTCTTCATTCTATGTACAGTGGCAACCGCTTTCTCCCTGCGCTGCTTCATTTCCCAGTGGAGTTTCTGTTCTTGCGTCTCCCTCTTCTCCGTAGCGCCCCACCTCTAATCCTCCGGAGTCTTGGTTTTGGAAACAAATGCCCTTGACTTTTAAACTTCTAGTACTGTGGTGCCAGTCTCTATTTTGCAACTGCTTGATATTATGTGTCGTGATGCGAAGTGACAAATGGGAGGCGGTACCCTCACACTTGAAGCTGCTTTGACCAAGTTGTTTCAGGGTTTGGGCACAATAGAGGCATTTGGTGTTGATGTCATTAATTAAATGAACGTTGTATTCTGATAGCCGACGAGGAAATCAACTTTTGCTGTATTGTATTTGCTCTTCTCCTGTGCAGGCCTGCCAAGACCATCACTATGACTGATGGAGATTATGATTATCTGATTAAACTCCTGGCCCTTGGAGACTCAGGAGTAGGGAAGACCACGTTTCTTTACAGATACACAGACAATAAATTCAATCCCAAATTCATCACTACGGTGGGAATAGATTTTCGGGAAAAACGTGTGGTAAGTTTCAACCATACTTTTAACCTTAGTACCTATTCTCTTGTGTCAAATAAGAATTGATGAAATTGTATTCATTGCACTTCAAAGTGTTTGTTTTTTTAATCACACTAAACTCATAACTGCAGAATATTATTTATTACATTTCCAACTACCAGTAACATTTTGATAGGAAAATATTGAGTGACACTATCTGTCTTCAAAAGCACACAAGGCAACTAAAATAAATGTGTTGTTGAATTTGTGGATAATGTGTTTTCTATGAGTTCCTAAGGAGTCTTTCAAATTTTGATTTATTAAAGTACCAGAAGTATTAACTTGTTGGTCTGAAGTAAATTTCTTAGAAAGTTGAAGGATTCATTTCCTTACTCCTAACAAAGAGGTTAAAAGTATGATTGGCAAATAGCTGGAACAGGAGATTTGTAAGTTCTTGCTGCATTTTTTATTTATGTGTAGCCTCAGCCATCAATCACTGGCTTGTTGGGAACAGAATGTGAGACCCATCCATGCTATTTTCCATGAGAAGGGAGCTTAAGTGAGAATCACAACAGCACTTCCGTCTCCTATGCTAGACACTAATGACAGGAAGGAGGATATTGTGACATGGGAGGCATGCAGCATAGGCACATAAGCTCAGCCAGATTTCCTGCCACCCATGGTAGTCCTGACTGCCAAGATCACTGTGCCTTCCAGTTGATGTCACAAATTCCCACGGGAAATGCTTGGTGGAGAGCCACTGCCTGAAAAGTTGAATCGCTTCCTCTCCCTCAACCGAGAGCCAATAGACTCTGGGCAGCTTTGCTTCCAGCAGCTCCAGGATTCCTCTGACTTCTTCCCTCAGCATTGCCTACCAATCTAGGTAGAAATCTTGTAAAATCTGTGCCTGTAAAATATTCCCTCTAAGCCATGAACATTTTCTGCAAAGGCCCTCTAAGGAAGAGGCTGAAGTGTCCCAACTGACCCCGCTGAGAAATTCTGTGCACACTTACTACCTAAGTCATTCTGAAAGGCAGTTCCATGCTAAAAGAAAGGCAGGCACTTGACAAACAAATTTTGATTAAAACGATTTTTCCATTTGTAATTTCATTTGTATATTACAACTAATTTCATAGTATATTACACCTATAAAATAGAAAAGGATTATGGTCTCAATTTGTCAATCTAAAAAATTTAGACTCAAAAGTTTAAATGAAAAGTTGGTTGTTTGAACCTACGGCTTTCGTCCTAATCTGATGTCTGCTGCCTCCACGAGGAAATGACAGAAGGTGCCTAATTTAAGTTTGCAGTATGCTTACGCTGTGTTGAAAATCATACTGCACTTGACATTTGGAAGTGAGATCTATGTGATACTTGGGGGAAAATAAAGCAAGTGTTTATTCTGTACTCTGAACTTTGATTATAGTAATCAACGAAAACATTCTGAGTAAACCCAGAGAACTACAGTGTTGACAAAACCCAAAGCAATATTAACGTGGGAGGATTGTGTTTTTCAGGTTTACAACACACAGGGAGCAGATGGATCTTCAGGCAAAGCGTTTAAGGTGCACCTGCAGCTTTGGGACACTGCTGGCCAAGAGCGGTAATGGGAATTCCTTTATTTCTAGCTCCCGAGAACTTAGAAAGCATTGAAAAGTGAATGATGTATATGAACCTCAGAAATAAATGGCATCCAGCTTTTCTACCAATTTTAAAACAGATAGCTATGCCTCTTGTGTAGTTCATTCCTACCTCCTAGTACCCAGGAGTCTGAGACAGGAGGATTGTGGCAAGTTTGTAGCCAGTCTGGGCTGCAAAATGAGAACTTTGTCCCAACCCAAACAAACCAAACAAAACGACTAATGGAGATTTGTATGAAGAAATGAAAGTCCATGATTTCTAGTTCACTCTGCGTGCTAGAACTGCATAGCAAGTGCAGATCTGAACAATCTGAGAAGTGAGCAAATCTGCCTTCATACGTCCTAGTGGGGAGAAATCTCTCCAGATTTACCCCAGGAAAGACGGGAAATTAGCACTTCGGCAAGAGTTGATCACAGAGTTGAAGAAAAGGTGTTTCATCCTTCCTGTCTTTGTGTTCTCCCTCCCCCCCCCAAATTCTTTGTTACACACTTGGTTCCACTGCCTTTTCTCACTCAAAGTTGGCTCGCACCATTGCCTGATAGCTAGGATATTTTTTTAACTTGAGCTCTCTGCATGCTGTGTATGATGTGCATGTGTTTTTCAGATGTAGTATGTATAGTGTGTGCATATGCATGTATCTGTATACATGCCCATGTGTGCGACAGTGGCATGCATGGGCCATGGCATGCAGGTGAAGGTCAGAGAACAGCCATGGGTGTCAGAGTGTAGGTCTTCATCTTGTACAATGCTTGAGGTCGGTTCTCATGCCAGGCTAGCCAGCCCCATGAGCTTCTTGGGATCCTCCTGTTCCTACTTCCCATCTCATGGCAGGAGCACCTAGATGACAGAGGCACACTGCTGTGTCTGGTTTTGAGAAGGCTCAGGGGATCCAAAACGATCCGCTTGGGCTTGGAGCACACCAACCACTGAGCTACGGCTTCAGTCCTAGAACCTTTAACTTCTTTCTCACCTTCCCAACGCTCTCCTCTCACCAGCCTTGGTCCATTTCTGCCTTCCCCGGGAACCAACCAATCCCCGGTTTCTTTTGAACTCCAGGGGCTCCTATCCGCTGCCACTAAAATGCTCCCAAACAAATGCTATGCCACCGTTCAGTAAATTTTCTAGTAATCTTAAACTGTTCTTTATTGAATCACTTGTGGCCATCTTCTCCCAGCCAAGCTGTGAGCTACCCAGTCTCGCAGCATCCACTCCGCTGTCAAAGGCATGACATCAAACAGTAGAGAGAAGCCTTGGTGGCTCGGAGCTCGCAGTGGTATTCCATTCTTCAATGAAAACGTGTTTCTTCGGGACCCAATTTCCAAGTGTGAAAGACCCAAATCTAATAAAAATCCTCTACTATCAGACTGAATAAAAAAAGTGGCAAGGGGGTGCCAGCAGAGATATGTGGAAGCCATCCTGCCCTTGCTTCTCCATCATATGTCTTCGAATGCTGATGCTTGTAAACACCCATATTTTTGAAATGCATCCAAAATGTTCTCGCTTTCAGTGAGTGTAAACGCCAGGAGAGGTGCCGGGCCCTCTCTGTTAGCTTTTTTGACTGTGAATCCCATTTACACACACCCTTCAACACTGCTGGTTCTTCTGAAGTCGTTCCTCGTGAGAGTCTCCTTTCATGTGTCAGTTTTGTTGTCACAAAGATGTATGTTTTATAGAGCAATTTAATTCGTCTTGGAAGAAGCAATATGAGGGAAAAAATGCGGATCCCCATATGTCCTTGCACACGACATGTCAGGCCCACATGATGGCCGGCGTCTCTCTTCTGTCCCCTTAATACAGCTGTGCCGGAAAGGAATGGGATGAACTGCCTTAGTAACTCTTGGCTTATTCATCCCTGGAGGATTTTGCATGCTGTGGATAGAAGGTGTAGCTAAGCAACAAGATAATGCCTTGGGGCTTCTGGCAGTATAATCCAGGTGAGGGTAATGGTAACTGATAAAAGTCAATGGTGGGAAAGCAGGAAAATACGTAACCCATTGTGAACACAGATGGTCCAACCCTTGTGCCCCCTCAAGGGCTAAAGAACAACAAGGTGTCTGATTCTGGGATCCGTTGCTCTTCGTATGATCTTAGCTTTTCCCACCTGAGTTGCCCGACTAGGATGGGAAGGGGAGGGGAGTCTGTGTAATGATGCCAGGTGTGTTTCTTCCAGGGAGTAATGGAAGGAAGGGTAGCAAAGGATGAATGGTCCAGGATGTCCGCCTGCTCCACAGCAACAGTGTCCTTTCTGTGCTGCCATTCAGGGAAGAAAAATTTGCTTCAGTCGGATGACCACACAAAACATGCTTGTTAACTACTTCATTATTTGCTGTGGGCAATGAGGAAAACAAAACACAGGCTTGTCCACCAGACACACAGACACACATGTACACACATAGAAGATACACTCTCACACACACCGATGACCACTTTTCTCAACCACATCAGTACAATGATTAAGAAACAGTTTTGTGGGCACAGCTTTTCAGCAGAGAGAACTACTACAGAATGTCTGTGATCTCTAAGAACTCCCAGGCAAAGGCAGAGACAGAACTCTATGAATAAAAACAAGTAATGCTTTTGATTTTGTAATCTACACCATTGTGTTACAGAAATGCCATGCAAAAGAAATGGTTAATTCAACTCCTTCCTTATGCTTCAAAAAATTGCTCTCTTTTGGTGTTATTTAGAATCTGTAAGAATAGTGAATCTTTTACTGCACTCTTTTTCTTATTTTTTAAATATCAAAATGTACTTTGTAAGTAAATAGCATGTTCTGAGCAATGAAAACAGACTGTATTCCGAATTGGAAACCCAGCACCTTTTCCCTCGGAGCTTACACATTAGTGTAGGCATTGGACAAACAATCAATCACAGCATGGCCCCAGGACAACTGTCAGAAGACAGAAGGTGGTAAGTGAGCCCTGCAGGAAGAGGCTGTTCCCAGAAGGCTCCAGGAGGAAGCAGGGGTTTCCACTGGTGTTTGTTTACGCTCATACACAATGCATGAGGGAAGGTAATCCGAGCTAAAGGACAGGCAGAGGAAGAGGAAAGACTAACATGTGGCAACCCACAACACAACCAGCTTGTGAAAGAGCCCAGCAAAGGACAGTGAACTTTCTCAGAACTAAAAGATTAGCGTTCCTGAGGCTAGGAGGCAAGAGAGGAAGCCTAATGATGGATGGGTGATGATTCTGCCAAGCCTTGATGGCTTTAGTGGGGTGTTTTGGCATTATCCTTTTTTTTTTTTAAGTTTTTTGAGATGCAGTTTCTCTGTGCAACTGTCTTGGCAGTCCTGGCACTTACTTTGTAGACCAGGCTGTCCTTGAACTCACTGAGATCCTCCTGCCTCAGCCTCCTAGGTGCTGGTGTTATCCTAAGAGTCATGAGTAATGTGGAATCACATCAACAGGAAGAAATGAGGGCTCCCCAAAAATGGACATGGGAAACTTACTACGATGGTAATTGAGCATGAGCGATGACGGGTAGTAAGAGATAGGATAAGGAGACGTGTCAGTGGAGAAGATGGTTTTCATGGTGATGCACAGACAGTGAGAAAGGAGAGCAGGAAGGGACTGGGCCCCAACGGGATGAGAATGCCCTGCCAGAAACAGAAGGCAAAAAGGAGAGCAGTTGAGCTTGGGATGTGTGATTCGAGAAATGACTGAGTTTTGTCCATGTGGACAAATCTCTAAAGCACGAATTCAAATGACAACAAAAAGCTATCTATATCTTGGGTTGCTCAGCATAGAGGGTGCAGCTAAGCCCAGGGACTAAATGACAGTATGTGTGCATAAAATGGGAAGAGTTCAGAATAGAACACTGAGAAAACCAACATGAAATATTTAGGAAGTAGACTAAAACTAGAGACCAAAAAAAAAAAAAAGGAAGCCACCAAGGAGAGCAAATGTCATACTTCTCTCTTCTCTCTTTCAAAGCTATGTGTAATTCAGAAATTCTGTGGTTAACTTCAACCCTTCCCTGGTCCCTGCATGCCTTCTCCAGTTCTGCCCAGTGCTGATGTCATTGTGGGTCTCAACCTGCCTTGAATTTAGCTGAAGAAGTCAGGGCAGACACAAGGGAAGAGTCATTGGGAGCGCATTTTAGCCTATGTATAAGAGTTGCTTTACCACCTCCACTGGAAATGAATATTCTCGTCTTCTTCTTCCACTTCCTGAGTTTCTCCTTTGTCCTTCCTTCAGTCCCCCAATAATCATCCTCTTCCTCGTGATTCACACACCCACCTGTGGGAGGGTTTCACCCCAAAGGGTGTGGTAAAAAGAGTACATCAACCCTTCTATTTCTGAGCTGTGGCTTCCTTTGATTGCTCTCAGAAGTTCTCATTCTCAGCCTCATTATGTGCCTGCTTTTCTTTTGTTCACAGAAAAGAAAATTTGAAAAATCTAGCACAATTCATAAAAACCCAAAGACACATATTGGGGTTCAACCCAAAGGTCAGAAAAACAAAACAGCCAGCCACTGGCTTTTAACTCTACCTTAGTCTGAAATGGCAGTCCTGCCTCCAGAATCTCAGAAAGAGACTGTGTCTCTGAGCTGTCTCATTGCATCTTATATTCCTGTCTAGATTTAGGATTATAGGCATACACCCCTACTGCCTGGTTTCTATAGCAAACTAGTGTGGCTACTGGAATTAAAGGTGTGTGTCACCATTGCCTGGTCTGTAAGGCTGACCAGTGGGGCTGTTTTACTCTCTGATTTTCATGCAAGCTTTATTTATTAAAATACAATGAAATATCACTGCATTTCCTCTTTTTGTCTAAAATAAAAAAGAAAGCTATAACTAATATAAGAAAAAAATACATACAATAAGTACAATGAATATATACAATATATAAGCAATAAATACATCAGTAATATCTAGTCCATTTGCATCGGACAAATTCGGAGAAAATAGTCTATTTTTTATAACTCAGTCAGTAGAACATGAAACTCTTAATTTCAGGGTCGTAGGTTCAAGACCCACGTTGGGCACCATTTGTAGATGAAAGTTTCTGTCCCACCTGGTCCTGTGGCTATTCAGTCCCAAAGGAAAACACAGAGGCTTATATTAATTACAAACTGTTTGGCCTATTAACTCAGGCTTATTATTAACTAAGACTTAATTCTTGTCTATGTTTAGCCACATGACTTGGAACTTTTTCTCAGAAAGGCATTCTTATCTTGCTTCCTCTGCATCTGGCTAGTGATTGTGTCCCTGTCTTTCCTCTTCTCAGAATTCTCTTAGTGTGGTTGGCCCACCTAGACTTCCTGCCAGAGTACTGGCCAATCAGCCTTTTATTAAACCAATACAAGTGACAAATCTTTACAGTGTACAAAAGCATTATCCCGCATCAGTGTCCCTTTTTTTCTTTTCCAAATAAGACCTTAAACCTAATTTCCTTTGTTTAACTTTTTTTCCTGACCATTGTCCATAACATCCATAACCTATTTTTTTCGGAATATGGGTGTAGTTTTCTAGGCTATTTTCCATTGATTGTAGGTGCTGGTAATCTTATGTAGACCCAAAGAAAATTTAAGATTGTGGTCAAATCCTGACTGGAGTATTCTGTGAGGCTGGATCTTCTCAGTCAACAGCCTTGAAACTGTTCTGAATGCAGAACTCAGAAGAAACTGAAACAGAGGTACTCTGAAACATTGGATCATCTGGGCTATTCATTCCCACTGGAGATTTTTCGGGGGGGGGGGTCTTCCTTGACCAAACCTTATTTTTTTCAACCAAGAAAGAATCCACAACCTCTCATTCCTGTGGAAACAAAAGCAAAATCTCTTCTTTAAAGTAACGTATCTTCTGACTTAAAATATAAAGTCAAGGCATTTTCAAAATGTATAGGTTGGATTAATCCAGCGGCATTGATAATAAAATGTCTTTTAGCAGCCGTTGCTCCTTCCTCCACAGTCAAACAATTCAAAGACAACACACTAACATGCAATATCAATACTCTCTGTGTATTTTCCATCTTTATGGATAATTTTTATTTTATTTTAATTTTAATTTTTATATTTATTACTCTATTTCTTTTATTTTATTTCAAAATTTTTGATTTTTTTGAGACAGGGTTTCTCTGTGTATCTTTGTCTGTCCTGGAACTCACTCTGTAGACCAGGTTGTCATTGAACTAACAGAGATCTGCCTGCTTCTGCCTCCCAAGTGCTGGGATTAAAAGTGTGTGCCAACTATTTCTTTTTTAAAGAACTTCACCCCATTCCTTAGCTTCCTGAGAGTCTAGCTTCATGGTGGAGGTACTGGCGGGAGCCATGTCTATTGCCACAAGTCTGTGGAATTTCAAGGTTCTTGCCACTACCAAGAAACATGCCTTTGACTACTCATAAACACCATTTAAGTGTTTGGTGACAAGGCTTCTTTAAAAAAGAGTGGCAAGTTTTTTTGCAGCTAAAGCTGAGCCAGAGAGCCTCTCTTAAAGGAGCTGTGCCTTGGCTTGCCTCTAACAAACAAAGCCCACCGGAGAAATAAGATGGTTACCAAGAAGCTACACATGACTATGCTCTTATCTGTCTAGAATCCTTACATTTAAGCTTTCTCAGGCTTTATGTGGAAATTCTTGCCAAACATTTGGGCATCATTTGTAGACAGAAATTTCTGTCCCACCCAGTCTCACATAATCACACAGAAACTATATTAATTACAACACTGTTTGACCAATGGCTCAGGCATATTCCTAGATAACTCTTGCATCTTAAATTAACCCATTTCTACTACATTTCTACTAATCTATGTATCGCCACGCGGCTGTGGATTACTGGCAATGTTCTGGCATCTTTCTCCTTCGGCAGCTATGTGCCATCTCTTCAACTCCACCATCTATCTATTTATCTATCTATCTATCTATCTATCTATCTATCTATCTATCTATCTATCTATCTCTGTTTGGATTTCCCATCTGGCTGTACTCTGCTAAGTCACTGACCAAAACAGCTTTATTTATCAATCAATAGAGGTAACACATATACAGAAGGACATTCCACGTCAGAATAGTCTAAGTTAAAGTCCATTATAAATGGGATAAGATTTTAATTGTGGCCCAAGGAGACCATAAGTCAAAAAAGAAAATGATTCCAAGAGGCCACGGTGGCAAGTTAGTGACCAAATGAAATTCTCTATTAGTGCCATGGCCTCATAGAGCCTGAACAGGGTTTTTAAAAAACAATCTGCAAGGAGATGCCCTCTCCCTGCCCTACAGCCATCTTCTGGCCTGGTCTCACATGTCCATAGAGTAAGGTAAGGGGTTGTCGTGGAGACAGCATGTATGTAATGGAAACAGTGTTGTTGGTCCTGCGAGTGTGAGTTTGTAAACTGAGAACTGGTCACTGTGCTTTGTTGGCAGGTTCCGGAGTCTGACCACTGCCTTTTTCAGAGATGCCATGGGCTTCCTGCTAATGTTCGACCTCACCAGTCAACAGAGCTTTCTGAATGTCAGGAACTGGATGAGTAAGTGGGCTTTGTGATGCTCATGGATGGCTTGTTTGGGGCTCTGCAACTCTGTTTGCTTGCTTGCCTTGTGGGAGTGCAGCCACGAATTAACTCTGAGAAGATGAGCAGAGTGTGCACTGTGTCACCTTCAGAGGGGTGTTGTGTCAATAAGCAACAGGGGATAGAATTCTGTTTTCCTTGGACACTTTCCTTAGAGACAACCTATGTGACTATCTCAGTCCTAAGGTTTTCAGTATTGTAGTGAAGCGGACATTAGTTACATTTGCCCAGTAAGTCTCGAGGATTTTTACAAGGTAAAAGATAGCATGCATGGTGTTAAACTTGAAGACGCAAGACAGAGAGAACATTCACAGTGTTTCCTGAGAAGGGACACTAGCACTCAGAGAAGCTCAAGGGTGAAAGTGCAAACCAAACACGTAATGCTTCAAGGAGTAAGCGGCCATGCTGACAAGGCTTGGTGCAGGGACCACACAGCTCTCACAAGGTGTTACTTGAATGAAATGTTAAAGGGGAATGAGCAGGATGCTCAGTCAGTGAAATGCTTGCTGTGCATGCATGAGGATCTCTGTTCAATCCTCAGACATGTGCAAAGGTGGCAATAGTGGTAGGATGCAATTCGACTCCCATCTCCAAAGGTGGAGATGGGAGGTTCCTCAGGGCTCCCTGGCCAGTCACTAGATTCACAAGATCTCAGAGGTATCCCAAGGAACAAGTAGACAAATGACACCTGAAGAATAGAATGGCATTGAGTTTTGATCTCCAAAGGAAAGCATATATTGGTACATATACTTGTATATACCCATATGCATACATATATACTCATATGTATATATACACCCATATGTATATATGTACATACACATGAACATATGCAAAAATCATTATATAAGTTGTTCAAACATGAAGGCAATTCAGATAGAGAAATGTCCAGCCTCAGTCCCTAGTTCCTTTCTCAGAAGCCCTCAGAGCCTATGACTTTATATTTAGCTTGGAATAAAAGCCAAAGCCCTTCAGCTACATGCATGAAAACTGTAAAGCCTGGCTGTTCCTTCTTCCCGAATCTCTAATTACTGACCCTCAGCCGCACTCAGAAAACCAAAACCCACTTCCTCCTAAAGATACTCACCCTTCCTGTCCTGTCTGCCGGGATTTCTCTTCTGTAAGTTGACCTCCCTGTGATACTGCCTTCCTTCCCCAGATTTGCCCAGACTTTATTTCTCTCTTCAGAGACCTTTCCTGATCTGCCACTTCACCTAGTGCAGTGCTGGTCGTCACTCAGTGTTCTCTCAACACCATACAGTTCCTTTGGACACTGCCACCACCCGGCATCTTGACAGGTTTTTGCGTTGACTTGTGTCTTTTGTTATTTCTAGAGCAGAATACACGCACTGAGAAAGAGTAGGCTTCGCCTATTTCTTCCAGTGCCACGCTGCACCTTCCCTGGCACACGGTGTATGTTCAGACTCTTGCTACATCCGTCTGTCTATATTGCTCCAGTTCTACTTACACAGCACATTATACAAAATGAATAATGCAGCAAATACAGCTAGGTAAAATTAATGATGCACTAAATATAGCAATAGGTAAAATTTTGTGGGTGATTTGAATGTGAATTCAGTAACCAGTTGCAGCCAATAGGGAAATATCAACAAAGCCTGACTTTTTTAATTGCCTCTCCAAATTACTGTTTACCCTAGGATCTGTCTTTATTTCCTTTGAATGTTGTATGTCCTTATCCAAATTCTGGTACTATGATTAGATTCTGATGAGACAAGGAACTAATAAGATTATTAGATTCTTTCAGAGAATGGTTTGTTTGGCATTTTTCAAGGCAGATGGTCCTCTCCCTCAAGTCTCCCGGAAGATAGTATTGGGATTTAAGATAATTAATTGCTATGTCTAATAACCTCTGAGTTTCTAACACTCAGATAATTGATACTGCAGAATAAATCTTTATGTGCCTCATCCTGTTGTGGCAACGTGACATATAGCAGGCCTTAATGAGGTGGAAGATACAGGTGTCATGGCCTCTGTTTCCCTTCATTTCCTTCCCTCACTTCCTCCTTCCTTCTCTTCTTTCCACATCATGCTTCTTTCATTCCTTCCTTTGTTAGTTCGTTTTCTCCATCTCCTATTCTCTCTCTCTCTCTCTCTCTCTCTCTCTCTCTCTCACACACACACACACACACACACACACACACACACACACACACACGTTTGTCTCAAGGAAAAGAAAAAAAAGATTTTGTCTTAAATTTGTTTTTGCATGAATTTTCGGTTTTTCAAGACCCGTTCATTCCATAGATCATCACTTTGATGTCAGGAGAGGGGAACAGAGCCGCCATCTAATGCAGCAAATGAACATACATGAAAAACATGTCCTAGCATCTGCAAGTGGAAGGTTTAGATCCAGCCTGATATTTGCATCTGAGGAACCAATGACAGGAAGCCTCTTGGGTCAGAGGGGTAAGCTCCCAGGTATAGGTGAGCATGTTTAGCTATTGGTTCAGGTATTTCCTGTGTACCTGTCAGCATTACTATCTGTAATTTGCGAGGCATCAGTTCCATTTTATAGATAGAGAAACTATGAGGAGAGATGACCGAGCTGATCAGCGAGGAGCAGCTGGGTTAGGAATCTGGAGTAGCAGCAGTTCTTCGACATCACTTGCTTGTGACTAAATCACTGCTTCCATTGGCTTTTTTTTTTTTTTAACCAAGGCCAACTACAAGCAAATGCTTACTGTGAAAACCCAGACATAGTATTAATCGGCAACAAGGCAGATCTGCCAGACCAAAGGGAAGTCAACGAACGGCAAGCCCGGGAGCTGGCTGAAAAATATGGGTAAGTCAGTTTCATTGGAAACCATCTGACCTCGTACACGGGGGAAACAGAGCCATGATATAGACAGCTGACGGAATCCCCTTGGATCAGAAATAGCAGAGAATTAAAAAGACTTCCCAGGTAGGGGAGGTGGCTCACTGGGTCGAGTGGGGGCCTCAGTTTGGATCCCTAGCACCAATGAAATAGCTGACTATGTTGGAATGTGCTGTCACCCCAATGCTGGGAGAAGAGATGAAGTTCATTAGCCAGCTAGTCTAGATAAATCAATAACTCCAGATTTAGTCAGTGATACTCACAAGCAAGCAAGCCTACAGCACACACACACACACACACACACACACACACACACACACCTTCCAGACGTCATATTAATAAGAGCATCTAACATGTTTTGAGTCTTTATCACACACCTGCAATTGTTGCTGAACGTCGGCTCATTGAGCTCTTCATAGCCATGTGTAGGTGATACTGGAGTCACCACCCTTTGTATAAGAGGGGAGTCACAGAATGATTAAGCACTGGGTAGAAGACTAAGTAGCTACTAAGGAGCACAGCTTAAATTTAGTCCAAGAAATCTAGATTAAGGCTTATAATTGTAAACTATGTAGTTTACTGCCTCTCACTTAACAGTTACTTAGGTGAGACAGGAACAGTATCTGATGCAGCCATCTTCCTGAGTAGACTTGGCTGGCAGCTGAAAATGAACTCAAACAAAAGCAGCCCACGTACTTGCAGGTTGACTTCCATGACAAAATCTGTCAGTGACTATTAATCTTTAAGTGGTTATATCATTTGCTAGAAAGAGCTCATTTGGATCGTTAAAGTTTCGATCTTCTTGATGCTGTTAATTCTAAATAAAGGCAGCTTATATTCCCATGACTATTCTACTCAGTAGATGTGGCATTTTGAAACCAAATTTCTAGGTGATTGACCAGAGGGAAGTAAAATGGTAGCGATGCTGCCAACCGTGAAGTGGCTGTGGTACTACTGACCACTGGTTTAGGCATTTCTCCTCCTGGTTTTGTTTACTGCATTGTGTTAAAGCAGTGATGATGCCTTGGCTTCAGCTTGCCCACTGCCTCCTCTAGTGGTCTCCCGGCCACTGGGTCATGACAGCGTCAAAGAACTCACCGGTTTTTATTTAGTGAAAACAAACCAACAAACAAGCAAGCAAACAAGGTTTCCAACTTGCCAACAAAACCTGACACTAAGATTTCTTTGCCAGCCATATATTGCATGGCATTCACTGTGTGTCTGGTATCTCCTCTGATCTCCTCATAAAAAACAAAACAAAACAAACAAAAAAACCCAACCATTTCTCATTAAGTCATTAAAATCTTGTGTGAGACTGCTTTTTCTTGAGGAGTCCCCTATAATGGCTGGGTGGTTCTCTGTTCCCTAGGTACCTCTCTTTCTGTGAACCCTTGTGCTCAACTTAAATTTATGCCAAAATCCTTGTTCTTAAAGAATAAAACTTTAAAAATTAAAATGTAATTACATCATTATTTCCCTGTATATAAATACAACCTGCTGAGTTTGTTTAGTGTTGTTCGTGTGTATTTTGGAGGCAGTGGGGCTGACCTGTTGGAATTGAATAAGCATTTAGGGTACTCCTCTCGGGGGAAGCCTAATTCTTCCTCTCTTGGCAATCCTTCATCAACTATCGCTCTTTGTCTAGGGGTGAGCCCCCTGCAATTTCCTGTCCACACTGACATTTTGAATGGTGCTGTCATTTCCCAGCTTTTATTTAGGTAGCTATATTGTTGAAGGATCATAGACATAGCTTCCCTGTCATTTCTAGGAGACAGAATCTTGTAGCAGACTTCCTGGTCCTTAATTAACCTCATCGCTGGGACTGCAAAGATGGCTTAGTCATGAAGAACACTTGGCATCGTTTCAGAGAACCGGTTTGGTGTTCAGCATCCATGTCAGGTGGCTTCTAACTACCTGTAACTCTAGCTTCAAGGGTTTTGACACCTTCTTCTGGCTTCTTTAGGCATATGCACACACACACACACACACACACACACGCACACACACACGTACATTCATGCATATGTATACACACATAAATAAAAATAAAAGCTTTTAAAAAATAAACCCCAAATCCACTTTAAAATAGTTTTGTATAAGAATATTACAATCTGCAGTATTTAAGAATATAGTAAGTTCACAATGTCACAATCTGGTGACTGTATTTATTGATGGTAGTATGTATTCTTGAAGAATGTATTGGACGTTGGATAGTAATAAGCTATAATAACCTTATGAAGTGATACATTTGTTAATTAGTTAGAGTCAATCACTGTATGATGCATGTGCACCTCAAAATAACATCTTACATATGATTCATGGATATAATTTTACAGGTCAATTTGAAAAAAAAAATCTGTGTTTTGTTTCTCTGTGTTAGCATCCCATACTTTGAAACAAGCGCAGCAACAGGACAGAATGTAGAGAAGTCTGTGGAAATCCTTCTGGACTTAATAATGAAGAGAATGGAGCAATGTGTAGAGAAGACGCAGGTCCCGGACACTGTCAACGGTGGAAATTCTGGAAAGTTGGATGTAGAAAAGCCATCAGAAAAGAAATGTACCTGCTAGAGACTCTTCTAGGAACCCGTGTTGAAGCCTGTGCTCAAACAGTACACCCTGAAATAATGCAAACCACAAAGTTGTTGTTGAGTAGATCTCGAGCGATGGCATGTCTTTTCTTCCTGCCCCAATCTATTTTAATAACCCAGAGTAGTCACTAGTATTAAAAGAACTGTGCTGTCCTCCTGAGTCCCTTCCAAACAAAAGTGAAAAGTTTCCTAAGATGGTCTCACCATCATGGATGATTGGTTGTATTTTTGTAAAGAAGTTGTGTATATGAAAAGAGGTATCAGTGAGTTTTAAAATTAAGCACATATCACTATCAGCCTGGAGGAAGGACTAGGCTAACTAAAAAACAATATGAAAAGATGATATTTGTTCACTGCTGCTTATATGGAGTCTGACTCATACTTCTATATTTGCACTGGGGAAGACACCTAACAAACAATTCCGTGTGGCTCATTAATAAGGCCACATTTGCCCAGTTAGCTGCACTGTTAAGGTTGCGAGTGGGTGAACATTAGACTTACCGTAGGAAATTGTGTAATAATGCTGTTTGTATATTTTTCACAAATGACAGAAAGACAAGGATAGGACCATGGAGGAAAAAGTATGAGAGACATTCTCTGAAGAAAAATGAAACGTGGAAATATGGCAGTGGAACAGGTAAAATTAAATGGATCTTTGAGAAAAGTCTGAGAAGGTCACTTAGCCAAATTTCACTGAAGCAGATTAGAAGCTGAGACTGAAAATGCCTCCAAGGCTCCAATTCAAATGATTCAGACTTTTAGCACCGTCAAGGTCACATTTTACTTCTATTTTTCTATCAAATTCTTATGGAGTCACAAGAAAAAATAAATCATATTTATTGAATATACCTTACAAATGTAGTCAAGAAAACTTAAGATTTAGTCTTAATGTTTCTAAATAAAAAAAAATTGTTGGTGGTAGAAAATAACGAGTGATTGTTAATTGTGGGTTTTGCTTCCTTTCAAAGCAACTAGAAATTCTAAGTTGTCTTTTCCCTCTTAACCACACTCATCCCTGTGTCAAAGCAATTACAGCAATGGATGTATGTTCATGGATCAATAACTCCAAAATAATTATGAACCAGTAACTATGGTCCTGCTGGATTTTCACGCCATCAGTCACCAGAAATTGGTGATGCCTCCTTCTTTGTTATAATGTTTTTCTTTTGTCAAGAGGAAAAATAACTAGAGTTGAGATGTTCTTTAGAAAATAACAAGGATGGATCTGTGTTCGTCTCACTAAAGCTATAGTCGGGGGCTTTATTTTTCCTTGAAGCTGTCTTTTCTTCCTGGAATTAAGCACAGAATTATTTACCTTTGACTTATTCTTATCATTGTGAAGACTCATATTGTGTTAGTTTTTGTTAATGTTAATTTGGCGCACATATAAGCCAATCCTATCAAAGTGGTATTTAAATTTTTTAATCAATCTTACCAATAACAAAGACCAATTGCTTCGATGTTTCTGTTTTCTTTGAGCTTGCAGTTGGTGACAGGATAGTTTCTGGTCCTTTAAAATGGTTTCAGTCTTAAGCGTTTGCATACCTTGCCTCCTTTAAAAAGTTACAAACATTGCAAAGTAAAACCCCAGGGCCATCTTAAAGCTCTTCCTGCTTACTTCCGCCTGTTGTCCAGTCAGTTTCAGAACCACAAACAGAGCCAAGGACATGGCGACATAAAATGTTTTTAAGATAAGTTAGGTCCAGAACTGTGCCACTATCAATGCAGCGTGGAAGCTTGTACGGGATTCACCCTTCATGAGTTCCCAGTGCTAACAGTCCAACACCTCCGACTTCTATGATTGATTCCAGGTTAGTATTCCCTTCCATTCCCACTGTCTGGGATGTTCTCGATCTCAATGTCTGTGCCATGAAGGGAGAACGCTAACAGTTTGCAGCATAAAGTGGAAAGAAATGCCCACAGCTGTGGCAAAATCTGATGAATGTCTTGATGTCAATGTATCTATTTCTGATTTTGATTCAAACTGTGCCAGTATTTCCATACGAGGGAATGGTTGAGTCATATAATGGTGAAGGGATTTCACCTTGCCATTGGACGGTTTCTGGCTACGTGATTGATTTGCTTATGCCAAGAGTAGCAAGATTCCTTCATTGCCAGGATGAGTACTCTCCAGGACTTGCTTTAAGAGCATCGTGGATAACTGGAGCATGAAGCAGAGGACAATGATGCCCATAAATATGGAAATGTGCCTGTAAGAGTGACAAGTATTGGGTAATAAACTCAAGAGGGCTGACATTTCAAACTGCCAACAATGAAAATAGTCTACTTATAAACACTTAGTCTAGAAATATTTCTGTCTGTAAACTTTGATGTTTGACCTTGAAATCTGTTTGACTATTGTTGGAAATTTCTTCCCTATGATTTCCAGTTGATAATTCAATAATTTCATTATACAGCTTCAAATCGACCTGGTGCCGTGAATATTCTGCTTTAGAGAAGTTTGTTTTTTTTCTTTTATCTCACTTCAACATGTCCATTCAGCTGTTTCCTCCTCCTAATTACCTCCCAAATGCTTTCAGTGAAGCATATTGTGTTTTGAGAGGTATACAGTGCACATGGTACTTCTTTGTGATACAGAGCCCAAGTCTAGACTGTTTACACTGGCCGATGTTTACACTGCCCAAACTCAGTGCCTCAAAAACCTCTGTGACCAGTTTCATCTCCAACCACTCAGTTTCTTTAATCTTAGGTCTCCGAAATGCCTCACAGAGACAATAATATAGTGGAACGCAAGCTGATACTGTCCGCAAAGAATGGAAGAACATTATTCGAATCTGGGGATTATTACTCCCTTCTCCTAACCTTTCCCAGATTAGACATTTCTTCAGAGCAACCATAGATTTTTTTTTATTTATAAAAATTTCCACTTTCTCCCCTCCTCCCAATACCCTCCCTCTCCCCTCACTCCCTCCCCTCCTCCCTCTCCATCCCTAAGAGCAGTCAGGGTTTCCTGCCCTGTGGGAAGTTTAAGTTCCTCCCCCTCCCTCCAGGTCTAGGAAGGTGAGCACCCAAGCTAAAAATAGATTTTTATAATGCTATTTTTAATCTAACACAAGAATGGGCTTTTGAAAGATATGCAAAACAGTGAAGAGAACATACTATTGGCCTGACCATCCTAACAAGTGGTTACTAGGTGGAGAAAGTGCTGCAAGTTGGCAGGTGAACTTGGACCGCTCTGTAATACTTTCAAATTTCATAATTTACTACTTTAGCCAATTTGCTATCAATTTACTGCAAAAGTAAAAAAAAAATCCACAAAAGCCAGCAGTTTCTAAAGTAATCATACGTTAATTTTTAATCAGATGGGACATTTGATGCATCGGTGGGTGATTTTGTTCTACTGGACGGCTATTGCTTGCCAACCTGTACAGATAAGGTGACTTCTTAAGAGCTTTAATCAATGTGGTGGTGTCCTTTGTATCAAGGAAAGAAAGAAAGAAAGAAAGAAAGAAAGAAAGGAAGGAAGGAAGGAAGGAAGGAAGGAAGGAAGGAAGAAAGAAAGAAAGAGCTTGACCATAAACAATAGCATGACAACATTAAAGTTCTGTAATAACAGCCTCATTCCAAACATTGAAAGCTCTGGAGTGAGTCTGCTGGGATTCGATGGATTTTATGGGACTGGGGCGTCTTCTCATTAGCATCCGAGGCAGCTCTGTGCAATGATGCTGTGTGTGCCTAGACAAAGTGAAGAACCAGAACACCTATGAAGGAGAGCATTTATTCTTCTATACTTCCTATCTCTTTAGAAAAATATGCCTTCCTTGCTGCGTATCACACCCAAAATGAGGACAAATTGTCATCCATCAAGGATTTTAGAGTTATGTTCCAACCCACAACCTATAAAGAACTAACATTCTAAGTATCTGGCTTACTAAGATATGTAGTAACTCCTTAAAGGTCTGGGATATGTAAGCTCAGAGGTAGGGCATCTGAGTAGTGTATTTGGGACTTCGGTTTGGTCTTCAGGCAACAGAGGGTCAGGGAGAAGAAGGGGGAGCTAAGTTTAGCAAAGTGATAGAAAACCTGGTTTTTATTTTCTACTGCCAAGCTTTGCAGCACCGAAAGTGGCATTGTAAAGTTCAAATATTTTATAGAAAGCTTTATCATTTTTAAAGAAGCCAAGAAACTCACTATGGTTGCCTCAGGATTCACCCTATAATATTTTCTTCCTGGTATTTGACCACAGTGATGTTAGCCCATTTCTCAAGTGACCAGAGATCTGAGAACTGATAATGAGTATTTGGTAGTAACTGAGAGTTATCTCAATGCATGGAACTGCCCGTCTTATAGTATAGAAATGACAAACACTGTCAGGTATAGAGAAGATTTTATAAAAGAAAAATATTGACAGTGAAGTCTTAAGTGGGTCCAACCACAATGACATTATTGATGGAGAACTCTAAAAAAATTAAGAGTGACAAGTTAACTTGTTCAGGTATTTCAATATAGGAGATCATGAAGAAGGCCATGGATTCATTTAGGTAGAGAAAGAAAAGTTTTAACATTTTAAAACTATATCTGTGGAAATGCTTTCTTTTTATTTTTATCTGCTTAGTGGAGTTTGCGCCCTTAGAACTAAGCTAAGCAAAATGAACAACTACCAAATATTTAGGATATTTAGCAATATTTTATTTACTACATGTAGTCTGATATTCTCAATAATTATATTTTCATTTTCAAGCAGTAATATTTAAAGATGCTTTATTGCCACATCCTTTAAACCAACAGTTTATGACAGAGATGCTTTGTAATTTCACATATGAAAATATCGTTAAGAAAAAATAATGAGAAAAAACTAAGGTAAAACACTAGTACCAAAATGGTAGAACTATTTAAAAGAACGTCAATTTTTCCGGATCACTTTTGGCTTAAATTTGCTTCTCTGCCTGTATTCCTTTCTAAGATGTCATCTACACTGTGTCTAATGCCTCTTGGCTAACTTAGTCATTCAAGATCCTTAGTAAGTCCTACAGGAGCCAGCGCATCTGGCCTTCACTGAATGGCTCCCCAATTAACCAGCAACTGTTGTCCACATGTCAAACACTATATATAGTAAGGGACTTACTCATATATGCTTATCATTTTGTTCCGTATGACTCTTGCCCATATGTTCTTTGATGGAGAGTCTGTGGTAGTAAATAAAATGGCCAGAAAAGACAGCTTCAGGACCATGTGGTTTCTCTCATACAGAGCTTAATGAACATTGAGTAACTCATAGGGTTCAAGTTAGGTTCAAAAGAGATGTATGAAACTGTTCCCTTTCATAAACAGACACCATTTTCATAAACTAAGAATAATAAATTTGCTCCTAACTTGGGCCACTTGTCATTTTAAGATGAACAGCAGAACCAACACAATAACTGTAGTAGGCTGCTAAATGGATTGTCAGTCACCTTGAGGTCACTATATTTGATTGAAAATGTAGACTGTATCTTACTGATGAAAAGAATGTGAGCTCTGTTTCAATTAATGTGTCATCTTGTATTTCTTTCAAGGAGACCAGTTGGATTCAACGTAGGATATTACAAGTTGGTTAAAAATCCCATGTACAAATAAAATTCTATGTCTAAAGGATTCTTGTATTTGAACTTAAGAAAAATAAATTATCCTGCTTTACTTTAAATGCTAAAAGTAGGTTTTTCTGACAACACTGAAGTGAAGTGTTTCATGGTATCTCAGCAATTTCCGTTCCAGGAATATTATCCGTCTCTTTAACCTGAGCATGTTTGTTTTGTCTGCTTTCTATATAGATCTCAGTTTTGTCTAATGCTTTCAGTGTAACTGAAGACTTTGAGTGTGGATTTTCCAATCCAGGCAGTGGTTCCTGACAAACACTCTTAGGTCATTATTTGTTGTATCAAAGTTTCAGTGGCTTCAGAAATCATAGCCTCCCACGAGTTTGTGATGTCGGGGTTTGAGTAGTGTTGTTGAGAACTGTATGTAGTGACTGTTCTTGCATACTTTTCAAATAAAAATATGTTTTTATCAAGTATTCTGTGTATTCAAATCAACTTCGTGTGTACACCGGTGTCAGAGGCACGCAGAGTGGAAAGCAAGATACAGACACCAGCAAGAAGCGTTTGCAACATTAAAAATGGAATCCATTTAGAGGAAGGTAAATGTTTCTTGAATTCATCCCAGTGACTTTTATTCATGTCTCTAAATGTCCTTATTCATTATTTAAAAGCTGAGCTTCTCAATTAAAATTCTCTAATGGTTTTGACTGATGCATTCATTAAAATGAGTTCACATGTTGAGGTGTTCTGTAGTCCATAAACACTTCCTTGTTCCTTATCTGTAACAAAATGCTGCACTATAATAGGTTCTGTTTGGTCACAGACTTGCTAAGAAACTGGCAGTTCAAGGACCATTCTAAACCACAGCCATCCAGCTTCATTGCTCATTTGCCAACGTTGCCCTGTTCCCAGTGTTGGTCTCT